CTTTTCTGATGTTTTTTAGAATCACATTTGATGCAATTTAAACTGTAACTAACTATATAAAATATATTTGATGCAATTTAAGCTTGTGTACACCAAAAGGTTTTGGTCGCAATATTAAATGCAAGTGAAACAAGCTATATATTTTGCCTTTTAATATGACTTTCCCAAATTTTCCCTTCATATAACGACTAAACTAATGCAAAAAATACTCTTCTCTTCTGCATAAAATTTCCTATTTGTGCAATAGACGAAACTGAACATACTTTGTCCATTACCTCATGTAACGCCTTTATAGATAAGTATTTGTCTTGTCTGAATGGGCTGCTGTGTTGGCTGTAGAATGGCTGGAGGTGATACTGATGTTAAAGAGATCAGCTGATTCTCTGCTGATGTCTGGCCTTCAAATCTTCAAACAGAATATGTGCCGTAATCTCCAGTATCACACTGTTTGAAAGTCTATATCATCATTGTTCTCTGTCTTTTTGTTGAAATTCAATAGTTCTGCTTTGTGATATAGATACAGTGGGGTCAGGTTTGAGGACAGTCAGATATGTAAGAGGAGTTTAAAGGGGTAAAAAGGTCACATTGGTTTGCATTGATTTGCCCAAAACAGTCCCAAAGGTTTACGTAAACAAAAGCTGATAAAATACCCAGAATTACATGCTCAGGATAATAGATTAGTTCTTATTTACAAATTAAGAAACATAAACTGTGGATTACGAGCATAGTCAGTGTTGAACTTTTTTTATATTATAATTGTAAATCGAAAATACAGTAGTCAGTACAAGGTAGGTACAAGTTGCTTTTGTTATAACACAATTTTAACACTAGATGGAGTCAAGAGCATTGGCATTTGCTCATCTTACATGACCCTTAGTCCAAAAAAATGCTAATTTATTTGCTATAACATCATAGGTTAATCTAAAATAATATAGTGAAGTAATTAGTCTGGTTTGGTTATGGTCATCTATCTTGGCAGAGAAGAATAGAAAACACAATTGAAAGGGTGAGACGAGGATAAGGCCCCTAAGACAATATTATTTTGCAGTATTTACTTACTTCAGAAAACACGTGTCTAATTTGGATAGATATTGTCTGCTGATAGAGCTAATAAAAACAAAGGCAAGCGTCATCATTTGTCCAGTCTGTGGTTTGTGGGGCTCTTGTGGTTGCTCTGTTTGATTATATTTGCAATTCTATCGGTCAAAAGCATTCGTCTTGTGTGGACTTATCCCATGCTCTCCACAACCTCCCCTGTCTCTCCCTCGCTAACAGATTGGTACCATGGGAGTCGAGACAGGAAGTTAAAATGAGCGTCTAACCTTTGACCTTTAGGTAAACACAGAAGGTTAACAACCATCCCCGGGACAGATAGGACAAGTCTTCTGATAAGTAAGGTCAAGGGACTTGAGGGGACAAAATAGAGGAGAGGGAGATTGTGGGGAGAGGTCATATAAAAGTCAGATCCTCGGAATCGTTTACCTGACCAGTCAGAACCACATGCTTTGACAAAACTTTACAAAGACGAGTGGATCTGGAGCCATGTCCTGTTTACCTGATTTCAAAGGGCATGATTGGTGTAAAAAAAACAAACATGGTTGCTTACAGGTAAAAAAGGAGACAAAAAAACAACATAAAGAACCAAGAAGACGCAGATTTTTACAAAATCAACAAGCTATTATTTATCTCAGGTAAAAGAAGCTATATATTTTGCTTGTTTCTATGGATCACAAGTCATTGCTCTTCCTGGAATGTTCCACAGTACGACATTAAACAGCTCTACTTTACATTCATTACATTACAGGTGGTTTTATTGCTCAAAAATACCCAGGGAAACAGGGATTCTGCCTATGAACTGTGTTGCCTCTCCACAGATCAGACCTATAACTTGGTCTGGTTTGGTCTCCACGAAGATAGAAAGCCATAACATTCCAGACAAAGCAATAAAATGTGCATGGAGATACACATTTGACAGATCCTATACCAGAGTAGTTGCACAATGCACCTTTAAGAAACATATGCTACAAATCAACAGCTGTCGTTGGATCATCTCAAGTTGAATTTCGGATTTCCACCCTCTATTGTCCAGTTCCAGTCCCTTCTGGATTCAAATAAAATATCGAAGAGACTGGCTGGTAGGAAACGCAATCATATAGAGAGGCCTTGGAGGGGCTATTTAACTTAACATTCACACTTCTCCAGCTTGGGGGTTATCTGATTGCCTTAAACAGGCACAGCTCAAGTGTTGCCGGCCCACTCAGATAGCACAAATTGAAAGAGACCCCAGAGACTTGACTCGCTTCAGTGCAGCCTCCACCTCGGTCTCGCCCTGATAAGGAGGGAGCACACTTTGGGAAATTAAACACAGACTTAGTAAGTATGTGCGATGAAATTTCAATGGGGTTTTAAGAATGCAGAGACAGTGGTTATGACACAGCTTTGACTCAAAATTGTGTCCAGTTTTAAAGTTTGCAGTTTAAAAGTGTTAATGAGTAGTTAGCATGGTCGGCCATTTCGGAAAATTATGGGTAGCACCAACATACCAAGACCCAGAAGCATACAGTCAATAAAGTAAAAAATGTTGGTTGGGGAAGAAGATGCATTGGAAGTCACAGTCTTGGGACACTTGCAGTAAAATTTGGCTAACTATCCACTTTTGAAATCAACTGTCTTAAATGGATTGAACTGTTGATGTAAGATAACACACAATGTAAACAATTAGCACAACGTTAAAGGTCCTATGTTATGTTAAATGGACTCTTGGGAGCTTTAGGCCATATTATAATGTTGTTACCTCCTCAAAAACATACTTGCAGTTGTGTTATGTTTCATTTACACATGTTTGAGTAATCTCCAATACTCAAAATGCTCTTTTCCACCTTGTGATGTCATGTAGTGGTAGTTTTCATTTTAACAGCTACCCTTTACCTTTAGTTCAGTAGAGATTGTCACTTCCAGAAATTAAATAAGCCAAATGATTCTAGTGAAGGTGTATGGAGTTTAAAAACACAGTAGAGCACTTCCTGTATTACCACATGACATCACAAGGTGGAACAAAGTATTTTCTGCTTGAGAGAAGAATTCAGCTTAAATATGCAAGTTAAACATGTGCAAATGAAACAAAACACAACTCCAGGTATGTTTTTGATGAGGAAACATTTTAACATAGATCAGAAAATAGTGCAATACGGGCCCTTTAAACACAGTCTATGATTTAAAACTTTCTAGACTCACAAACTTATGACTTATTTTAACATTTCAATTTAATAAAACAAGATTTATTAATTCTAAAAGAACTGTAACTTCAGTGTCCAAGCCCAACAGGTGGGAATAACTAACACGTCATATCTAAGCAAACCCCAATGTTACCATATGGGACTGACTTTGATTAGAATGAAGTTTTACTAATCTGGAGGAACCTTGGAGAAACATACTGAATCAGATGGTCAGCTGCTGTTTGCTATGGGCAAACCCAAACCATATGCCCTATGTGTACACAGCAAATGCCTGTGACGTTATTGGCCTCAGTGGTCTTTAAAGGTGCAATACGTAACTTTTCTTATTGAAGACAAATAATCAATAATAATAATAATAATATATATATATATATATATATATATATATATATATATATATATATATATATATATATATATATATGTATGTATATATATGTATAGTGCTTTTCTAAACACTCAGAGACCTGTACAAAGAATACAATTAATCAGAGTACATTTAAAAAATAAAAAAAAGATAATCAGATAAAATAGACATAATTATAAAAGCAGATTAAACATTAGTAGTAGTTGTAGTTGTAGTAGTAGTAGTAAGAAAGTAAACCATCAACCATATTAACCAGCTTCTTTTCTCCAAGGAGATGTTATTGCTTTGGAATGTCCCATAGTGTGGCATTAAACTTGTATGTCTTGTATCTTGTATTTTTCTCCTGTTACTTTCTTTTAATTGCTAAGAATACCGTGCTTCATAGATCTGACCTGTAACTTGGCCAAGTGACGTCACCCTGCTTGACTCCATGGACACAGATAAGTGCCATGTCATACTGTGGAACGATACAGCAAAGCATAACATCCCCATAGAAACAAGCAGCTGGCAAACGCTCCACCAGAAAAAGTTACACGACGCGCCTTTAATCACAATTTACGTCAGCATTATTGTTCTAACCAAAATAGAAAAAAGAGGAGGATGTTTGATTTGATAGTGAGATAATAATAAATTAATTGAGGTTTGCCAAATGAGACAGCTGCACCGGAAAGCAAGTCTCTCTCATCCTGTCTGGACAACACTGTAACAGCATCAGCTACACTTTGGGAATGGCTATCCAAAAACATGCACTTTATTTAGGATGACTATTCCGGTTACTACTACTTAATAAGTAGTGTGATTGAGCGTTTGGGGTAAATAGTTTTTTTTATTTTTTTATTAGGGATTCTAACTAGTACTGAACCAGTTGCTGTCAATACATAAAAAAAAAAAAAAAACACAAGTTGTATTTAAAAGTGCATCGTGTAACATTTCTAGAGGAGTCCGCCACCTGCTTATCTCCATGGAAATCTTTGCTTTGTCTAGAATGTACCACAGTAAATATTAAACCTATCTATCAGCAGTTTATGACACTTTGCTACATTACAGGTCAGATCTGTGAAGAGTCTCCCCTTTTTCACAGAGAGAATTTTTAAGCAATAGAAACACCCGTAATCAATAAATGCTAGATGGATATGCTTAATGTCATACCATGAAAAATCCCAGGCAAAGCAATGCCATCACCATGGAGACAAGAACGTGGTGGACCCTCCACCAGAAAAGTTGCACAGTGCACTTTTACATCAATAAATAAGATAGCTACTTAATTTTGTGTCAAAATAGACAGACACTAATATTTAAGATAGTTAGAAAAGTGCTGAAAAGTTAAACAGCATGCACACAACTATGAGACTCCATACAACTGCAACAAAGGTAGTTCAGAAAGTTTTAAAACTCACCAGTCTAAGATGACAAAAAGCTCTTGTATCCACACAGGCAGCCCCAGGCAAATGTCAAATATCCCTGCCCATTTTTCTCTCCAAATTCAAACAGAAACACGGCATTATGAGTAGCCCTTTTCACTGCTTGCTCTGTGCTGCTGTCCTCATGAGCCTGTGTGTACACTGAGAGTTTGGAAGAGGTGGTAACTTCCTTTCAAAGTTGGAGTTGAGTTTTTTTCCCCATTTGCTTCTACGAGCTCCAATCCACAAGGAGCAGGATAGGCGGTCATACTATCCCCCCCTTTCATATGGAAAAAAGAGGAAGAGCCTAAAAAGGGCAGGCTCTGGGAAAAGGGGAGGGAGGAGGGCGTGCGTGCGGTGAGGGGAACTTTCCTTCTGTTGTTAAGGCAACGAGCTGAAAGCAACCCCGGACTGAGGAGCCAAGTTAAGTTTTCCATGTAATGTTCCGGCATGATGGGAAAACATAGAAATAGCATTGGAACACAATACTGTAGTTTGTGAACTGCAGAAACTGAAATATGGCATATGCATTAGTCTGCTAAAAAAGATTTTGGCCATCAACTACGTCACTGTCATGGTAGAGTTCGTAAATACATAGCTTCGTATTTGCACATTAAATGAGCTGTTTTCTATTGTTTGTTTAAAGGCCCATATTACGCTGTTTCTTTGTCTATGTTATAATGTTGTTTCCTAATCAAAAACCTACCTGGAGTTGTGTTTTGTTGCATTCACACATGTTTAACACACAATTCCTGCATATTTAGGAGTTATTCTCTCAAACGGAAAACACTCCGTGCCAACTTATGATGTTATGTGGTAATACAGGAAGTGCACCACTCTGTGTTTTCCATACACCTTCACTAGAATCATTTGGATAATTTCAGCTTTTTCAGCTTTGGAGATGTAGCCAGACCAAAAATAAAGGGTTACTCAAACATGTGAATGAAACAAAACATAACTCCGGGTAGTTTTTTTTGAGATAACAACATTCTAACATGGCTTATAGCTTTGTGTAATATAGGGCCTTGAACAGTTGTCCATTGTCTGAATCCATAAAACCAAAACCTAATCAATGTTTTTCCCATTTCCTGAGAGTTTCTAGAAAATGGGTGTTTAACAAATGAGTAATAATACAAAAAGTTAAACTTGGTCTTGTCACAATGACTCACCCCACATATATTCAGCTCATGGGTTCATTTCTGCCCTGTTAACTTGCTGACTAAAATCTCATTTTAAAAGCTAGGTGGTTATGCCACAAGTAGAAGAAGTTACCAAACAGAATAATAATAATTTTCTTCATCAAAGCCCATAACAAACCTTTTTTGGACTTGCTGGCGGGACTATATCTAAGTGATATTTGACTGCTTTGATTTCTCAGTGTTTTTGTTTTCTTAGTGTTTTGGGTGTGGAGAGAAGGGTGGGGTGTTAGAGTTTTTTTTTTTTTTTTTTAATGTTTTTGTTATGTTTAAAAGTGCACTACTTAACTTTTTGGGAGAAGGTCTGTCGCCTGCTTGTTTCAGTGGATGCCATCCATCCCTCTGTTCCACATTAGTACATTAAACAGCTCAATTACAGATGGCTTTATAGCTCAAAAATATCTAGAAAAACAGGCATTCAGACTGTGGATGGGCTTGCGTCTCAAGAGATCTGACCTGTAACTTGGTCTGGTTTGGTTTGTATGAAGATAGAAAGGTTTAATGTCATACTTTGAAAAATCCAGACAAAACAATAACATCTCCACGGAGAAAAGCATTTGACGGATCCTTCACAAGAAAAGTTACACAATGCTCCTTTAAATGTCATACACTACACCTGACATTGCTGTTCTGCAGGGTATACCTTTAAATTTCAAAAAGGACAAAAAAAAAAGAGCTCTTAACATATCAACAGGTCCTACTCTCTGGTATCAATTCTCCAACAAGAATGCACCACAACCTTTGTCAACAAAATGCTTGTGCAGTCAGTTTGTTTACATCTCTTGACATTCTATAGACATTTGTGTTTACACTCATTTATTACTTTACACAACAAGTCACACTGTACCATTCTAGCTGCACTTTATTTGTATTCTAGTAGGGCTTGGTGTGGAGGGAGATAAACTAAGTGCGATGTACTGAAGCAATAAAATGTATTTATACAGTCTCTGGGTACATTCATCAACACAGTGCTGAAAGAGCATTCTAACTCGTAAAAGCAAGAACATGCAAATAACAGATTTATTATGTGCCATTAGCGTTCCCTAGCAAAAACACTTCCAAAAAAATAAAAAAAATAATAAAAAAAGAACTCACTGTCTTTTTTCTTCTTCTTTTCTAAATGTTATGAAATTGTCACGTTCTTGAGATGCGCAATATAAGCAGCTGTTATGGGGCTGTTATATGGATCTGGTGAAAGCGACCTTACACAAAACATGGTAAACATATAATCACCATAATACGTCAACTCCCACGCTGCAGGAGCTGACAAACTGATCACAACCAGCTGTAGGCCCACAACCAGTCCCTCTTGAGATGTTCTAATCTGTGACACAAATGAAGCAATACTCAGATATGCAATTGTGTCACCACGTCGCGTACATGTTATCTTCTGGGTTTAAATTTGATATTATGTTTATGTTTTTGAATCAGTGAAAATTATAGTGAGTTAGAGCAGAATTCTAAAATCACAACAGATGAGGCTTCATGCATATTTGCCTCACCAGCCAAGACCATACACACTTACTGCATTCGAACAAGATGGCAGGAAGCAGAGGGTTCTGGCTGGTCTGGCAAAATGTGCATAGGAGCTGAAATAAAGTAAAGTAATTAAGTAAATACACTGCATTTTTGTATTACAACATGGCTTCTTAAATTGTTTTTTACAATTTAATTTAAAACATGCACAACAAAGCAAAATAGGCAAAAATAGAAAAATGCTGCTACTCAAAAATGCAACTGTGTCACCACATCACATACGTGTATGGATTTTGTATTGAATTTGATATTATGTTTATGTTATTTTGAATGATTGATAATTAAAGACCTACACTGACAGCAGATGAAGTTGTATGCACATAGGAGTTAACATAAAGATAGCTCTAAGTAAATAGATTGGATTTTTGGAATACAGCATTAATGGCTTCTTACACTGACTTTACAATTCAATTTAAAACATGCACAATAGTACAATAACCAAAATCCTGCAATACTCAAATAAGAAATTGTGTCACCACGTCACATACATTATCTGGGCTTAAAGTTGATATTATGTTTTTGTTTTGTTTTTTTTTAATGAGTGAAAATTAAAGACTTGGTTAGTTAGTGCAGAAATCTAAATGTCAACAGATGAGGTTAGGTGAGTTTACTTGCCATTTGTAGTTAAAAAGCACATTGGAAAAGTGCAGTATGAGACAATTAAAAATCAACCACATAACCAAACAAAAGACAGTGATTACAGGAGACATATGACACTGTGAAATAAACAAGCTATAAAGATTAAGTAGCCAAAATATTGAGGTGCTACATCAAAGTTGTGGGAAGGAATTGTTACCACGGTGAGAAGTTTTATGTTTAAGGGAGAGATAGGAGCTGACATAAAGATAGTTAGAAGTAAATAGATTGTATTTTTGTATTAAGGCAAAAATGGCTTCTTACATTGACTTTACAATTCAGTTTAAAGGTGCACCGTGTAACATTTCTGGTGGAGATTCCATCAAAAACTGTTCTCCATGGAGATGTTATTGCTTTGTCTGGAATGTTTCACAGTATGGTTTAATAATAATATCTTCATGGAGACCAAACCAGACCGTGTTACAGGTCAGATCAGTGGAGAGGCAACCCCACTCACACTCAAAATTCCTGTTTTTGTATGTATGAGCTATAAAACCACATGTAAATGAATAAATGTAAGGCATAATAATAATGTCATATGGAACATTCCAGGCAGAGCAATGACATACCCATAGAGACAAACATAGGACAGATCCCAGCCAAAAAGTTACATAATGCACCTTTAAAACATGCAAAAAAAGCAAAATTCTCCATCTAAGGTGGAAAGATCGACAGCTAAAATGCAGTTTTTTACTTCAGCCTAAACCCTTTTGGTCATGATACAAATGGGGTTGTAGTCTATATTTTTGTATTGTTGCAAATGAGCAAATGAACTACTACTACATTTTGACAATATCATCTACCATAAATAATTTATTTTGCTAATTTAAAACGCAGTATAAATTTCACATTGCAAGACTGATATTGGCTAGGTCTCACTGGTGGAGTTTTGTGTAAAGACGGTTAAAATTAAAATCCAACATGGTACATATTTTTGATTAAACACTAAAAACTCTTCTGTACATTGAAAACTTTGTTACCATAGTGTCCACTGAATACTCAAACTGAAGTGCAAAATATAGAATGTAACCTTCATTTTATCAGAAATGTGCAAAGCTCACAGCAAATATTTACATACCCGCCTATTGGATTGTACTGCTATACTACACCAGTGCTGTACTTCAATGGAGCCTATTGTAAAAATATATGTGACCACCCAATTCTGTCTGGACCTAATTTAATTTAAAGCATACACTTGGGAGCTGTACCGGACATTTTCTGTTGTTGTTGCTCCTACTTCAATTTAGATGAAAAGGAAAGAAAATCTGTCAACTGTGAAATGTAAATATCATTTTAATTTAGCACAGCGTCACTCACACACTGAGACCAAAAAAGGATTCCTCATTCTCACATATTTTACTTGTTAACCTTAAAAACCTGCAAGCTACAATACTTTTGGCCACTTCACCAGTGTCTGGTTTCTTTCTTAACTAGTATATCCCTCAAGAAGGATCATTGCAAATTCAAGAAGGATCATTGTTACCCCTCCCTGGCCAATGGGTTGATGAATTACAGAATTAAGTTAAGACATTAAAATGTTATGTGACTGTGTTTATTGTCTGGGTTTAATTATGTTCTCAGTCACTTTAGTCACATTCCTCTTTTGGTCACATCATAGCTGGAAGATGTCTATTTCTAAGAGTTGGTCGAAGGGTGGATACATTTGATAAATTATAGGCCTAGAAACAAGAACGTACAATAGCTACTCACAAATAATTAATTAAAAGCACTGAAGAAATGCTTGCTATTTCACTGAACATTGATGTTGCAAGTAATATAATTATTAGTTTGTTTTATTTTTGCATGTGACATAAATCCTACATAAAACAAATGAAATGTTTTGGGCCCA